CTTCCTTCCTTCCTTCCTTCCTTCCTTCCTTCCTTCCTTCCTTCCTTCCTTCCTATCTGTCTTTTCTTGCTTGCTTGCTTTCTTGTTTTCTTTTTTCTTTCTTTTTTTGTATCAGGGATTGAATTTAGGACCTTGTCCTTGCCAGGCAGGTGCTTAAGCCATTCTCCCCTGTTCAATTTCTTGATTCATAATTAATTCTTTTTTTTTTTTGTCATCCGGGGATTGAAGTCAGGACCTTGTGCTTGCCAGACAAGTGCTTATTCTACTGAGCTATCTCCCTAGCCCATAATTAACTCTTTTAGGATATTTGATGATTTGAAATATGTACCTAGAGTGAAAATATCAAGTGCCAGGGGAAGTTCATGGTTTTAAGGGCTAAGCAGGTTAGAGAAGATAATCATCTAGAACTTAAAATAAGTAAGCACTGATTGAAATCATGGCTTTAAATTTGAAGTATATGAAATTATCCCTTGACAGAGGCTGACTTACTTGTTTTCTTTCAGATGGTGAATATACAATCTACAAATAATATACAATAATGTAATGTACAAATACCATACAATAATACATGTTCACACATATCAAGAATGTGCACAGCACACATAATATTTGAAATCCACTCAAGGAGTTCCCTAAAATGCCCTTCGATATCCATCTCCACCTTGGCCTTTAATATATTGCATCAATGGAACTCACTCTTATTTTCAAGTTCTCATGTTTGTTATCACTCACACATAATAAAGAATGTTCTCCAGTGACTATACATTTTGTCTTTCAGTTAGACGTGTATACAGATTGATATATACATATTTTCATATGTTAATATATGTTTTATAGCCATAGAGATTTTAAATATAATTTTTTAATTGAAAGTAATACTTTAAATGAGGCAAAAATTCAAATGAGACAAAAAGTATCGACTAAAAGTGTTTCACTCTAACTCCCTCCATACTATTTTGCAACAGCCTGGAAGTATTCTTTACACATGCAAGCATATATATCCTTTATTTCTTAAAAGCATAAATGTGAACACACATGCATGTACATATACAAATAAATACATAAATATACACGTGCACACCTGCCTTACTTTTTATTGAAACAACAAATCCTAGAGATAGACCACAAATAGCTCTGTTTTATTATTCCTAAAGATGGCAAAGTGTTCCATTTTGTGGGTGTGTCCTAACTTATTTTGCTGCGTCTTTCAGATGGAAACTTTAGGTCAATGCCAGTCCTTGCGATCATGCATGTGTCTTTGAACATAAGTAGAGTTTGCCAGGAGACCCAACTTTGGAGTTGAATTATGCCATGTGAAAGGTGCATTTAAAAAAAAAATTAGAAAATGTATTTAGGACAGGGTCTATAGGGTCTACAGGGTCTCACATGTAGATTGGACTCATAGTGATTCTCCTGTTTTCTGCCTTCCAAGCACTGGGATTGGGATTACAGGCGTGCACCACCACACCCAGTCTCAGTCGCTGTCTAAGCCAATGCTTTAGTCTGTTGAGCTATTTGGCTGGCCCTGCAGATGCATTTTAAATTTAAAATGTTGATGCATATTGACATAGAATTTGTACTAATTTGAAGCTGGTCAGATAGCTCAGCAGTCTAAAGCACCTGCTTTGGCAAGCTTAGGCAAGTGCAAGGGACCTTGGATTGATCCCAGCCACCACATGCTATGTCAGCCCCACCCCCAGGGTGGGCTTAGCTGGCCACACACACAAAAAGAATAAATAAAATTAAAGCGCTATAT